AGGCCCAGCAGAAATGGGACTGCACGTCTCCAGAGACGGGGCTGGGAGGGGACAAAAGCCCCGCAGGGCCCCCCTCCAACCGGGGGACGGGAGGCCCCGGCCCTGCAGCCCTGGGGAGGAGGGGATAAGCGGCCGACGTGGGTCGCAGCCCTTGGAGGCGCCCGCTGATGCCCCCAGCCCTGGCACCGGGGGGGGGGGGGCAAAGGGGGGAGGCGCGGCCTGCACGCACCTGAGGCCTACGCTTGCAGAACGAGGAGCAACGGGAGAGGCGACCGCGGGGCTTTACCTGATCGGACCACCGCACTCCGAGGCAGCCCCGAGGCCCGGCCGCAGGGTGGGCTCAGCCCCCGATAACAGAGGGGTGTGGGGGGAACCCCTGTTGTAGGGGCGGGGGAGCGGGGCGGAACGCGTGTGCTGGGGGCGGTGTTCCCGGCCGGGGCGGAACTGGAGCGGGGCGCCACCGGAAGCGGAAGTGGGAGCGGTGGCGGAGCGGGATGGAGGAGCCCGAGATGCAGCTGAAGGTGAAGAAAGGTCGGAGCGGATCGGAGCGGATCGGGGACGCGGGGGTGGTGGGTCCGGACCGGCACCGGCCGGGCTGTGAGGGGCTCCGGTGGCGTTCTGTTGCTCTGTCGCGGTAGGCCCGCCTACGACAGGGCCTTGCGGTGACAGCGGATGTCGCGATAGAGTCCTGTGGGTCGTGAGAGAGGACGGCGGAGGGATGCGCCACGGGGCAGGCCGCGACAGGGCGCCGTAATGGGCCTGGGGGAGGCGTATCGCGACATATCGCGGTGGGTATCGGCCGTATCGTGTCACGCAGTTCTGCGTTTGTCTGCATACGCGTTCGGGAGCTGCGGTGTCTGCCATTGTAAGAGCCGCAGTTTGGGAGCGGTTGTGACTGAAACCAAAGCACTGCCACAGAGAGGGGGGGAATCGCTTATTCTGAACGCAGCCCTGAATCGGTGCTGCTCAGGGATGCTCCCCCCGGCTGTGCTGAAGGCGCTCCCTGCTTTGTTGCAATCAGACCCCGCATGAAACGGGAAGCAATCTCTGAGCTCTGCCTCTCGTCGTTATTAATTGCTGGGAGCTGTCAACCCAGGAGGAGGGAGGGCTCAGAGCTCCTGCACATCTCTCAGCCTGCAGAAGTGGCCATTGGGAAGGTGAATCCTGTGAGAAAAAGCATGAAATGCTGCTTTTTGGTTGCTTTTAGGACATCTCTTGGGGCTGATGTATAGGGGAAGAGGCAGAAGGACCCCAAAGCAGGAGGTTCATCGGCACTCTGCTGCTCCCTCCCATCTCTAGTGCAGCTCAGGTTGCTCAGAAGAGGCACAAGCAGTTCCCAAGCCCAGGTCAACCCCAGCTGGTGTGGGGCTGCTGGGCCAGCAGTGTCCCAGGCTGATGCCTTCACCTGGTGCTGAGCTCACTGCACATGCAGTGACATGGAGAGTGCAAAGTGAACCACCTGTGTAACGGTGCTTTGCCATCATGTCTTGGTTAACATTACATGGTTAATAGGTAGAATGTTTGGGGTTTTACTCCGATCTCTTCTCTGGCACGTTGTTGATTTTGAAACTTGGAGCCTTTTGTCAGAAGGCTGCTGTGCTGTGGGAGGTGCAGTGGGCTCTCTGAACCCCACTTCTTCCAGAGACACCTTGAGAGATGGCACCCAAGGGAGCCCTTCCAGCCCCACGTTCCTCCCATTGCTCCCCACCTCCTGTGACTCTGTTGTTTCCCTTTCTGCAGTTACAGACAAATTCACAGAGAGCATGTATGTGCTGGCCAATGAGCCCTCCGTGGCCCTGTACCGGCTCCAGGAGCACGTCCGGCGATCGCTTCCAGAGCTCGCTCAGCACAAGGTGAGTTGAGCTCACCAACCCTGAGACAGTCAGACCAGAGCTGTTCTCCTGAGCTGCCACGTTGTTCCTATCTCACTGCCTCGGGAAGGAAATCAGCCATCGGGGCACACAGGCACTGTGTGGGAGGTGCTAAGGGACCCCAGTTGGCCCATGCTGGGGGGGTGAGGGGGATTTGCACATTCACTCACAGATCTGGGGTAAAACTTGCATGGCCGACCACATCCCTGAGCTCCCAGTGCTGGATGTGTGTGTGGAGACAAAGAAAAACGACTCTTGTGTAGGGAGGGGGGGAGGAGGCAGACGTTAAATCTTATTACCCCTGACTACACTGCAAGATTTTTATTTCCTACATAAAATAAGGAGGAGGGTGAGAGGAGGGAAGGGGGAGTGGGAAGAAACAAGTGAGAAGAGCCAACACAAGGAAAGGCAGGATAATGAATCGCATCTCACAGCTGTGTTCCTACTTTCCTCCAGAGCACGGAGCAGAGACACTTTAATGCCAGCCTTGTTGTCCTTCTTCCTCTTCTGCCAGTCATGATTCATTAGGAGTGATGTCTCATGAATAGATTACTGCTTCATGTCTATGCTAATGCACTGTCAGGCCTCATTTTTCACCTTTGCTTTACAGCCCTAGTTTCCAAATTAACCTGGATTGTGACACTTTATTATTCAATTATTTATTAACATTTTATATACGTGTCTGTATGCAAGGGTAGGTATATAGAGATGTATATGTATGTATAGCACATGCTGATGCGATTGCATCACTGGGATGCAGGAGACAGGTTTATAAAATTATTCCTGAGCTGTCACTTGCTTTCATTTAATCAAGATAGCCCCGGTTTCAGGGAATGTGTCTGGAACAAAAGGAAATTGAACAAATTGTATGACAAGTCATGCAGAGGGAAGAGATCAGTTTCCATCACCAAGGGTTTATAACAGGGAGGAGGGTGAAGGGCAGCACAGAAGCACAAATGGAAGCAACAGCCAAGAGAACAAGCTGGACACTGTGCTGGTTGTTAGACAATGGGGTTTGTGCTGAACGAGATCTCTGAAAACCTTTGCTGCTCTCATTTTTCTTGCTAGGCATTCTCTTCTCAGTCTCAGCTGGTTACAGCCGTCCTGGAGAATTCTTTTTTTTAGCCAAAATTGCTTCTATTTTCCACTTTCTTCTCATAAGAAAGATTTTGCAGTCCTGTGGATGCCAGCAACAGATATGAGGACACTGTGTGTCCCCGTGTGACTGCAGCCATCACAACCATCAGATGCCTTTGATGCCTTCATGTCCAGCCTCACAGCATCTGTCCTGCCCTGGGTGCAGGCCCCAGCTGGGACAGTGGTGTCCTGCTTACAGGAGGAGGAACTCTGTGTGCTCCCTGCACGTCAGATCAAGGTTGAATGAAAGCATTGCCCTCTGCTTTAGGTCTGCCCCATCACCACTCCAATCTTACTGTTCCTCTCTAATGTTAGGAATGTCCTCCTAACACTGGCTCAAAGATGCTGCTGTTTATATCCATTTCTTTTTGCCCACCATATGGGCACTTCCAGCTTTCAACTGCTTTCCTCTTTCCTTTGTGTTTAACAATGCATTGATGTGGTAAGGGCTGGGGAAAAATGGAAAGCAAATTCTTTCTGGCAGCTTAAACAGCAGTAGATGTAACTGCTGGTGGTGTCTCCTCCAGCCTTGTCAGCCTCCACATTCATTCTTCCAAGGCTGTAGTGCCATGTTTGGGAGCGTGCTCTCCTCCCTGCAGGTATCTGGCATCCTGCCCATGCTGCCAGGCTGCTGACACTGGAATTGTGGTCAGGTTCTTTCTCTCGTCCTTGATCCCACTCTCATTTTCGTTGCTGTCTGCAGCAAACCAGGCAGCCAAGCCCCCAGGAGAGAGGGATGTGCTCAGTGCCCTGATGGGGCCATCGGCACTGTGGAGCGTTGATTAGGTGGGATGGATATTTTGGGTTGCTCTGCTGAAGCCCATCGGCTCTGTTACAAGACACTGGAACAGGAAGGTGTCAGCAGGGCTGTATACCATGAAAGCACTGTCAGGTTTTATCTAAATCAGAGCAAAGGCACTGAATTAAGGTGAGTTTAATTCCTCAGAATGGAAAAGAAGAAAAAGGAGTGTTCTGCCTGGATCCATTCTCTTGTAATTTAGTCCCAAGGTGCAAGTAATGTATAAAGGAAACAGGATTTATTGGTGGTTTTCAGCTTTCCTTTCAGCCTTGCAGCAGCTCTGTCCATGGTTGGCAGAGTTCTCCTGAAATGCAGCTTTTACAATTCCTGAGGAGATTAAGCCTAGGAAAAATTAGGAGGGACAGAGCTGGGGGGTGGGGGGGAAGTATGCAAGAAGAAGGTCACCTCCATGTCTTTACAATAAGCAACTTTCTTTGATTTGATTAAAAATAATCTTAATACCTTCCTTACCATCTCAAACTCTCCAGGCAGATTTAGCCCCTTGCTGATAAGATGGAGCACAATGCGGAGCCCTCACTGCCTCCACGTGTCGGAGCTGTGCTGCTAAGCCCTGCTCTGCACAAAGCTGCCTTTCTGGATTTCCCCTGATCTTTTGAGAACTTACATCTCCTCATTAATTTACTGCTAAGCAACAGTAATATATCCTTAGTATATTAATAGCTGGCTTTAGTTCTTAAACTGCATCCAAAGGCACCTCCTGGGAATTTGAAGGAAGGACGTTAAGAAAAGTTGAAGAAGAGCTTTAGGGAAAGGCTTTTGTTGCTAATTAATGGCACAGCATTTCCAGGAAGTAGTGGGAATGCTGAGAATGGACATCACCAACACTGATACTGGGAGATTATTAAAATCTGCTTGTGCTCAGGGCCACAGGCAGGTGACTGTGTTGTTTCCACCTTTTCAAAGGAGCTTTGCAATCACCATCTCTGGCTTCCCAGGTTTACCACCGTGCCCTCATCCTGCACTGGGCTTTGCAAGCTGACAGTCAGTACTTGAAATTGTCCAGAGGCTGTGCTGCTGCTGGAGGAAATGGTTGGTAGGTGGGGTCACCTGCCCTTCATGTGACAGAGACATCTTTCACCAGGGCAGTGAGAGTGCTGAGCTGCTCTGGTGACTGAGCCAGTGCGATGCTGGGCTCTAAATGGTTGCTAAAGATCATCTGGCACCTCTTGGAGAGAACAGGCTGCAGAGCTGCAGGACATAGCTGTCTCTTTCAGCTGCCTCTGCTCGCAAAGCCTGTTTTCAGCAACAGATTATGGTCATGTAAAACGTGATTGGACTCTGGGATAAGTGTGATCTCTGCAGGACAGCTTGTGGGGTTGTGAGTTGGGTCGGAGGACCCTCCCCTGCAGAGAGCTGCCTGCAGTGCTGCGTGTAGAGGCTTGTTTCTTTTGTAGTTTAAAGCTATGTGGTCAAGCGTCCCGATGTAGGACAGGCTTTGAACAGCAGAAGTGATTTTGGATGCACTCCAAGCTCCTAGCCGACCTCCTTCAGTCACAAAAAGAGGCCCTTGCGTTTTCCTTGGCTTGTAACTAGACCCAACAGAA